TGGTCCGCAAAAAAAGGCCACGCTAGAAGAGTAAATTTAAAATTTTTTAGTCGCACGCAGCGGGGAGCATACCCTCAAAATTAAAGCCTTCAGCTTTTTCTATTTTTTAGTCGCACATAAGCGGGGAACATACCCTTAAAATTAAAGCCTCCAGCTTTCCCCGTTCCCGAGTTAGCAGTTTTCCCATCAAAATTTTCACGTGTCCGTACGTGAGTACCAGACGGTTTTAAGGAACTAAATTTAAAATTTTTTGTTCATACATATATAGGGAACATAACCTTAAAGTTTCTGCTTTCTAGCTTTTCTCTTTCCCGGGTTAGTAATTTCCGCCCCAAAACTCTCACATGTGGCTTACTTGGGTCTCGAGCGTCTCTAAACAACTGATTTTGTTTCTACATAAATAGGGAACATCCCCGTAAAATTTCAGCTCTCCAGCTTTTTTCGTTCCTGGGTTAGTGATTTTCGCGCCGAAATTCCCACGTGCCCGTACTTGAGCCCCGGATACTTCCAAACATCTGATTTTGCTCGCACATGAGTATGGAACATTCCCTTAAAGTTTCAGCTTTCTAGCTTTTCCCGTTCTCGGTTTAGTAGTTTTCGCGCCAAAATTTTCACATGCCCATCCGTGGGCTCGGGCTCCTCTAAACACCTGACTTTGTTCGCACATGAGTGGGAAACATCCCCTTAATGTTTCAGCTTTCTAGGTTTTCCCGTTCCCGGGCTAGTGATTTTCGCGCCAAAATTCCCACGTGCCCGTACGTGAGCCCCGGATGCTTCCGAACACCTGCTACATGAGTCGGGAACATTCCCTTAAAGTTTCAGCCTTCTAGCTTTTCCCCTTCCCGAGTTAATGACTTTCGCGCCAAAATTTCCACGTGCCCGTACGTGAGCCCCGGATGCTTCTATACACCTGATTTTGCTCGTACATGAGTAGGTAACATTCCCTTAAAGTTTCAGCTTACTATTTTCTCCCGTTCCCGAGTTAGACTTCCGCGCCAAAATTTCCATGTGCTCGTACGTGAGCCCCGGGCAATCCTGGGCAGCTGCATTTGAAAACTTTTAGTCGCGCATGAGTAGGGAGCATTCTCCCAAAGTTTCAACTTTCTAGTTTTTCTCATTCTCAAGTTATGAATTTTCCCGGCATAATTTTCACGTGCCCGTACGTGAGCCCCGGGCAGTTCTGGGCCGCTGAATTTGAAATCTTTTTGTCGTATACGCGTGGGGAACATTCTCCCAAGTTTTCAGCTTTCTAGTTTTTCTCGTTCCCGAGTTAGCGATTTTCGCGCCAAAACTTTCACGTGCTCG